GTAACATAAGACCAGTCTTCTTAAATCGTAGACCCTCTACAAAAGATCTAAGAGGGTATTTTTTATCAAAACAACTTTGGAAAATGTATATCAAAACTATAGAGAATTATAGAACCATTATCTTTTAATAAAAAACTCTAAATTAATATATTTTTCTGAAACAAACCCATCTCCTTAAGATTTTATTAAAAAAGGTTCCATATGCCATGAACTCCTTTCCTTATTTTGTATATTATTTTTTTCCTTACTTGTATATTATAATTACCTACCTAATCTGATGAATGATAATCTTATTAAATTTATTTATAAAAGAAAAGTATATAATTTTCAATTTAGAGCAAAAAAAAAACTCGTTACTTTCTTGAAGCCAAAATATTTAATTGATTTTTGGGAAAATAAATGAGAAACGTTTATCTGTGGGATGTTGGATGTTGGATGTTGGTTGTTGGATGTGAATCTTCGGAGGCAATGGAGCACCTGGCGGAGCGTGTCGTGGTAACTTCTACTTTTCCGCTCTTCCGCAGGTGAGGTACTGTTAATTGTGGCGGCACAAGAAGAAGAAGAAGCACAAGCAGAAGCACGGGAAAAGCACGAGTAGAGCAAGAAGAAGGCTTCATTAATTAAGCGGCAGTAGAGCGTGTTGCACGCGGTTTGTGCCACAGAGTGTGCATGTGTGTGTGTGTGTGTGTGTGGCACTTTCTTTGGCTTAGTTAGCTTTTCGGGGGTTTGGGATCTTAATTGGAGATACATCTAGTATGTAGAGATACTACAGATACTACATACATACATATATTTTAAGTATATGCTTTAAAGTAGATGCTATATTTTATAGTTGTGGCAGGCAGGCAGGCACACACACCTGGCATGCCACACGAGCCACCGAGTCGAGTTACAGTTAGTGGCTGGTTGGTCTAGTCGCCGTCTGTCTTCTGGCCAGGTTTTCACTCTTTTCTGGCTATCTTCTCCTCTAGGGGAGACGGAGACGGGTGGGGTGAAAATTAATTGGCTCTGAATTAAAAACAAATAACCATATCAGCCGTTTACAGTTTACCGTTTTACTGTTTTTTTTTTTTGGCTATTGATGTTCGTTTTTTAAACTTTTGTTTCTTGGCCTTTTTTTTTATTATTTTTTGGTTTTCATTTGTTTTTTTAATTTACAGTTCTGCGAGAAGAGATTCTCCGCTGACCGCATTTTTTCGCATAAATTGCCAGATACAAAAATAATAAAACAATAAAAACAAGGCAAAAAAAAATAATAATATAAAAAAAAGAAGGTGGAGGCTTTGTTGTCGTGATCTCTACCTACAATCGAAAATCGACAATCGGTAGTTTCGATTTCATTTTCACCTGTTCGGAGCTCACCTGGGTAAAAGTGGCATACAAATCGGGCCATAAAGCCCACAAATCAGATTTTTATTATTACTTCTCTATGGCATGACTGACCACCTGACTGACTAACTGATTGATTGATTGATTGCCGGCATCTCTTTAATTGCTCGCCAGGGAAAGTACTGTACTGCCGCAGTTACTCACCCAAAAGTCCGCCCAGAGTGCCGTGTAAATATTTATCCAATTTATTTGGCCCCGAATCGCTCCAAGAATCAAATAAATTCGAAAGTCTTGAGAGAAATTTTTCATTCAGCATCAGGGGGGATGGTCTTCTCGGATATTGGTCAGTTATACTAGTACAATGAAAATTATAAAAATATAAGTAGGTTGAAGTATGTTTTGATAACTAAGTAACTAAGCTTAATGTAAATAACTAGTAACATACTAATAGCAATACTTAGTGGTGCCTTAAAATCGTGTAATAGTATTCAAATTAATTAAAAGGATATATTCAACATTTATTAAACTAAATTTAATCGGTTTTAGCTTCAAATAATTTAGGATTTGCCATTTTTTTTTAAAGAAAATCATCAAAACAATTTTAAGTCGTTTCTTTATTCTTAACAGCTCTTGTTTAAATTTGTGGAACTTCCTTTTCAAGTATTTTTTTTCTGAAACTGATAAAAATATGCACAAAGCTTACCAATATCCCTAGGAGGATTTTTCTATAACGTTAAAGACTTTCTGATAATATAGTTATAGATAATTAAGAAGAATTAAAATACTTACAAAGTACAATAATATTGACTAATATAAAAAAGTATAAAAACCTATAAATTTGATAGTTTATATATACAAAAAACTTTAATAAGTAACTAATAAGTAAGTAAAAATAAAAATCATAAATGTTATACAAAAAAATACCAATAAACATTAAAACTTATTACTCTATTATGTGTTTATAAAGTAAATGGCCTTAGTTTTTTTATAAAAAAGGTCTTTCAAAGCCACACAATTTATTTATAAAATTTATTGTTTATAAATCTTAAAACAGTCGAATAATTTTTCTTTTCTCATTTGTTTTTTATAAGAAAAAATCTTCAATATACTAAGACAATTTATTTTGAAAATTGTTATACATAAATCGTAAAAACTATAAATCGTATAGTTTTTGATAGATAACATTATTATACATTATATATTTCTATAATAGTTATATATACATAGTCTTATACATATATTTTCTTTTAAATAAAATATTTAAGGATACAGGCTAGCATCTTAAGTCAGAAACTTCATAAAAAAAGGTCTTCCACCTGTGATCTCTCAATTAATTTTTGCACTTTCGAAAAGTGCACTTTTTAAAGAGTCTCCTACAAATTCTAAGAATTACTTCCAACACCCAACCCCAGTCCCAGTCCCCGTCCCCTTCCCCGTCCCCGCCAGAGTGACTCACGAGAAGCCCAAATACCAGAGTCCAAGCCATCAAGATCGGGTCCCGACATCAATATCGGAAACCTTAATTTGGGATGTCGAAATGGCGCCCCCGGGGGGTCCGTTTTGGTGATTGAATGGATTCGCGAATCCCCATGAACAGCCCTGCAGGAGTCTACAGGGGGGGTGGGGGCAGGTTCAAGTTGGAGTTCAGGTTCGGGTTCAGGTCCAGGGAAATTGGCCGCCCGGCCGTTTATTAAATTTCAATTTGTTTATGGCTTCTTTTCGTGGCCGCACATTTGCGGCCATTTGACGTGGTCTTGCCAATTTTCGGTCAGTTTCCCACCCGGGGGCCCGACGACCGGACGACTTCAATTTTTGTTACCAACTTCGACCAGTCCCCAAGACATCCAGACATCAGGCATCGCGCTAATGACCAGCATCGACATCTTTATTACCTCAACACGGCCGAAATGCAAAAAAAAAAAGAAAAGGAGATCTCGGGCCTCTTAACAATTGATATTTAACATACGAATTGCTCCGGAGGACGACAACGACCCTGATGATGATTACGATGATGACGATGTGGCCACGCCCCCTCTGTGTTCTTGTGCCGCCCCAGGAAGGGGGGCCAGAGCTCCAACCGAAATTACCGGCAAATCGAAAGAGTTGTAAGGAATTCAGGTTAAGTGCTTGCCACTAAAAAGCCAGACCTGTGCCACAAATGGGGTGTAAAATAAATTTCTTGCAAGTAATATTTAATATTTAGTAATATTAGAAGCAAGTGGTAATAATTAAAGACTAACAAAAGAGTAAGCTTTTTTTTAGTGAAAATAATTAAAAAACTAATTTTAAGAACCAGTTTAAAAAAAGCTAAGCCTAAAAATCTATTTAAAATCAATTAATATTTACATTAAACTTTTGCAAATGATTTCTTGCTTAATGGGAATTTTAAATTTTAAAAAATTATACTTTTTGTTTGTAGTACCAGGTATCTTATAGCCGCGAGAGGGCATTGCTTTTCCTTCAGGGTTATAGGTATTGTATCCATAAAGGTTTATTGGAATCTTAAGAATATATATAAGAATTTAATTTAATTTAAAACAATAGTTATATACTAGATATTTTGAAGACATTCTTGAAAGATTTTTAAAAGTTTTTTAATTCAAAAGACAAGTACCGGCTATCATACAGTCGAGAACGAACAGCTTTTCTTCCAGGTTTTGTGTAGATATTATCGATTGATATAGATATAGATTACATTATATCTCTTAAGACTTTTTTGAATCTAAGGAATATTATTAGTAATTTAAAATAGTTCATATCAGTATTAATTTTTATATTAAAGACATTTTAATAGCCATGTTTTTAAGCTTAAAGAAGAAGTACCGGGTATCTTATAGTCTAGAAACTCTCTCTCTTTCTAGCTGTTTTTTGTTAAGCCCCTTGTAGCGATTATTTAAAATTTATTAAAAATATAAAATAATCTAATTAACGATATTACTTAAGCAAAAAAATCTCAAAAAATAAACCACAAGCTCCACTGCAAGTTGAGTTCATAAAAGATCACTGACAACTTTAAAGTTTAGACTTTAAACGATTTGTAATCTAATCTGTGGCACAATTGGATAGCTTCTCGAGTGCAAAAGAGCCTTTTGGCGTTAGCCTCTTAGGAAATGGAGTCAAGATCGGGAATAAGTCCAATGTTGATGGCAATTTGGTGCAATCTCGCGGTGGTCACGACTCTCGCTCCTTCAACCTGCTCCTGCAACCGCCACAGAATTCAAATCGTGCCATTCACATCGCCGCCAATTGTGTCAATTAGGATTGGATGGTGGCAGCCTAAAGTGTGCCTGTCTATATAGTAAGCCTCCAAGCCATATAGTTTGGAAATCGTCATGTCACATACATACATGTCTATAAGCCAAAGTAGAGTTTCTCCTGGTGAACAATCCTTTGTTCAAATTAGATCAATAAATACAGAGAGAGAAACTGATGGAAAGTAGAATAACAGAAGCACTTTGAGGTGAAAGCTTTCAAATTAGTTGCCTCATTAAATAGAAATTAATTCAAATTGTATGAAAACTGAATAGACATGGCAGGGAAATTATTTTCTACAAATAAGATATCTAATACAAAAAGCATTGAGGTAGTCCCCTATAGTAATAGTTTGCAATACCCATCTATTTTTCTATGTTATCTAATCTTGAAAATAATCTCTTTTTTTTTTATTTCAGCTTCGATTGCCACGCCCACAGAACCAATATGTGGAGTCCACAGAAGGGCCCTACACGACTGTGGGACCTTAGGTTTAGTAGCTGTATATTTATCTTACACCTAATGGTAAGTGCCCTTATCTGTTGGGGGCTGGGGGCTTTCCGTAGTGCTCATCGATAAGGTTTGATGGAACGAGATAGTCTTTAATAAAAAGGTTACATAGGTTACTTAGTTCTAGGGCAAATCTATGGGCTACCTAGATGGTTTCTCCCACTGGCCGGATGGTCAGTTCATGGATCTGGACATTTGGCGGGGTCTGGATGCAATAGGTGATCGCATCGGCCACATCCTTGGAGCGCAGTATGGTCAAATCCTCGGGGAAATCACCGACAATGGTCTTGTCGAAGATTTCCGTGTCCGTGGCCCCGGGACTAATGCTCTAAAAAATTGAGGACTAGTTAGTAGAACCCCATGGGCAGACAATGAAGTTTACTTACCGTGATCTTGGTCTTGGTCTTTTTGTTCATGAACTCCTGTCGCAGGATCTCCGTGAGAGCCGTCACGGCGTACTTTGAGGGCGGATACATACCCAGGGTGAAATGCGACGATACGGGAATCTTGTGTCCAACCACACTGTTTATGATCAGGATGTGTCCGTCGTCCACTTTGCGCTCCTGGAGCGAGCGGAAGGCCTCCCGGGTGCACCACGACACGCCCAGGACATTGGTGTTCAGGGTATCGCGCAGGTCCTTAGAGTTGCCCTCGTGTGTGATGCCCACATTGAGGCGTACGATGCCGGCGTTGTTGACCAGAACATCCGCTCCGCCCAGGGTGGAGTCGATCCACTTGAAGGTATCGATCACATCCTGCTCCTCGCTGACGTCGCACTTGTGGAAATGAAAGCGCTTGGCCTGGTCCGCCGGCAGAGAGTCCTTCAGCTCCTGGAGACGATCCTCGCGCCGGGCCAGACCCACCACTATCATGCCCTTGGAGACCAGATCCTTGCAGCAGGCGGCTCCTATTCCGGAGCTGGCACCCGTGACGACAGCAACACGATTTGTCCAGCGATCCATGTTTGTTTTTTGGTTTGTTTTTGTGGTCGAGGTCGTTCTGACGGTTTCTGGTTTGGAACTATGCCGTGAGAGCATCACCCGACTGGCTTTTATAGTTCCGCTCAGAACCTAGAAGCTTCCACACTCACTCCAAGCGGCACTCTCCGGCTCTAGAGGGTAGAGCTTCCGATTAGATCTTCGAGTAACCGTGACTTGGCAGTAATATTTCCGAATCATTTCGTTCCGCCGCTCTCAGTGGCATTATTTTGAGTGAAATCTTTGGCAGATTAGAAACTGCGCCTCAAACATATTGCCTTTTAAGGGAATTTGTTTCTCTTTGGGTTCGTTTTTTAATGACTGATGAAATAGTGAATGATGAAATAGTTGAATGCTATAACGACGAACTTTATTGGGGTCTTGCTATATTAGGTATAATTATTTCGAGCTTTTGTCTTTTTTGATACTAGACCTCTGATGTCATGAGTACTTTTTCTAATAAAATATTATCATATATAGCTTCTATATGAATTTTATTTAAAAATAGAGAGAGAGACCCATTGAAAGCATTTCCAGCTTTTAAATTAAAAAAAATACCAGTTAAGGCACCGCTTGGTCTTTTAACTAAAATTCTAATACCCCCTGCAATGCTATATATTTTTCTTAACCAATTTAATAAGTATTTAAACCAGGGGTGCTCAAATTCGTCTTATGGCAGTGCGTTTACTAACACAGACACAAGAAAACGTGTACATTAGTAGCGGCGCTTTAGTGTTGGGGCGCAACTGTGCACTGAGAGAAAAAAAAGCAGTTTTAAATATTTATTTATTTTTTTTTTTTAATATTTGGCTTAAAAAAGATTCAATATTTATATTAATTTTAGTGGTTGATAATTTTAATTGAGCTTCCAGATTATTATTTAGTCCCACGAAATAAATCAAAAGCCAAAGCAGACAGAAGAATAAGTTCCAGTGCATGTGCTCGAGGAAAAAACAAAAACAAAATACACTGCGTTCAGCGAAGCGTGACGACGGATAGAGATGTAATGAAGAAACAAGCAAAATTGTTTTTGTTTCGCATGGTAATCGAAGCCCATATGCACGGTGCTTATGGGCGCACTAGCCATAAGCACAGAGCATCTACAAAAACAAAAGTGCACTCAGTGTATAGGCGTTGAGCACCCCTGATTTAAACCAAAAGCATACTTAAACAAGTTGTACGACAATCACATATCATTATCTGCAAATACCAATTACTAAACTACCGACTAACTAGAAGCTCGACCAGCAGCGCCTCCTAATTTCCAATCTCGTCTGCCCGGTCACCGCCAGACAATGTGGCTCCGATCATACCACTATATACTTGAATATTATATGTATATATATATATATATACTTGAATAATTATATCCACGAGTACCACACAGACGGGAGTTGGGACGGAAAATCAACTTTTACTGCGCGGCGAGGTGGTGAGGGACAGGAAAATGCAAATTCCTTTAAGCCAGTTGGATGGCTCGCCTGATTGATGCAGCATGTGGCAAGGCCTCAGTCGAAGCCTTAGCCTCTGCCGCAGCCACAGCCAGGTATGCAAATGTCAGGTGCAAGTCCACCACCTCCTCCGGCTTGCCGCCCCAAAACACAGCCACTGCCAAACGGATGCAGGCCAAGAATTCGCTTTCCCATTTCGATTGGCCAATTGGCGACTGGAGAGGATAAGGGGGCGGCGAGCAAGATCCGGGGGAATTTGTTACCTGGGGTTTGGTTTGGATACCGGAGAGACTGGATTTCCGTTTCGTTTTTATTGGCAACACGTTTGTCAGGTGGCAGAAGCTAGAAGCCAGGTGCTAGGTGGCAGGTGGCAGGTGCAACTGGAACCGTTACAAGCCCACCCACAAGGCTTACATTAGGAATCTCTTATTTTTTTTTTAATAATTTTTACAATTTTGGATCTTCTACCATTACAGTTTAGTTTAGTCATAGCTGGTAATGAACTGTGGCCCATGGACCGGCCCGATGGGATGCCCAATATCGTTTCCCTGGAGGTGATGTGTGGCAAGGATCACATGGACGTCCATCTTACCTTTTCGAACCCGTTCGAGGGTATTGTCAGCTCCAAAGGTGGGTCATTCTCATTATTATTTCTTTAATTAAGAAATATCCTAATCGTGGATGTCTTGTTAGGACAACACAGTGATCCTCGTTGCGTTTATGTGCCCCCCTCGACGGGCAAGACGTTCTTCTCGTTCCGCATTTCGTACTCCCGGTGCGGCACCAAGCCCGATCTAAATGGGCAGTTCTACGAGAATACGGTGGGTACAAATTTCTTAAAAATAAAGGAATTATATTAAAGTTATATATCCCAACAGGTGGTAGTGCAGTACGACAAGGACCTTCTGGAGGTGTGGGATGAAGCGAAGCGACTGCGTTGCGAATGGTTTAACGATTACGAGAAGACCGCCTCCAAGCCACCCATGGTGATTGCCGATCTGGACGTAATCCAGCTGGACTTCCGGGGTAAGAGAGGATAAATTGCCTTATAAACCAAGAACTAATTAATATTTAATTAAATGTGACTTATTCAGGTGACAATGTGGACTGCTGGATGGAGATACAGCATGGCAAGGGACCCTGGGCACCGCCAGTTAGTGGAATTGTTCCACTTGGCTCCACCTTGACCCTCGTGGTGGCCATTAATGACTATCGTGGTAAGTTTTAAATAAGGAATCAAATATGTCACGGTCGCCATAAACAGTCACGGTCGCCATTAAATAAAGATTATAATCAAATAATCCTTAAAACCCGATTACTTATTATCAATATTTGATGTGATTCCTTTCAGGTGAATTCGATATGCGTGTCAAGTCCTGTGTGGCTTCGGATGGATCTGGACATGTGATCAACCTGTCGGATGAGTTCGGTTGTGTCCTGCGTCCCAAGATGATCTCCCGCTTCCTGAAGGCCCGTGCCCCCGACGAGAGGGCCACCGTTATTACGTACGCCTTCTTCCACGCCTTCAAGTTCCCGGATGCCCTCAGTGTACACATCAAGTGCAAGGTGGAGATCTGTCGTCATGGGTGTCTGGATCACTGTCAGAACTCGGGTGTGGCCGGAGCTGGATCTGCCGAGGGTTTGGGCCACGGACTGGGCCATGGACTGGGACTGACGAACGCCAACGAGCGCAAGGACGTCCACATTTCGGATGCGATGGGCAGCAGCAGCAACGACCTGCTCAGGGACCTGGCTCTGCCGCCAGGAGGCGGGCATGGAATGGGCCTGGACCACGACATCTTCTACGAGGACATCATACACGACCACAAGCAGACTCTGGGCGGAGGCATGCCAGCCGGCGGGGATTATGGACACGAAAAGAACGGCCACCTGCAGCCCAGGCCAGTTCACGAGGATCAGGAGGAGGCGGATCTGTCCGATCTCTTTGGCGACGAGGACCTGGCCGACCTGGACATGGAGGGCGGCGAGGGCGAACGGTACCTGGGCCTGAAGAAGAGTGGCAAATTCCCGCACGGACCACGCCAGCTGGAGGCCCAGAAGCGGATGGGTGTGCCCATGGCGGGACCTCGCTCTCTGGAGCCGCACAACCAGGAGGAGGATGTCCCGCGTCCCGTCTACAGACCGCAGGCGGAGGCCCTGAAACAGCCGCGCGAGGATCACATTGACCTGGACCAGGAGGAGGCGGAGGAGAAGTCCGCTAAGGATAGCAAGGATGCCAAGGAGCCGGAGGAGGAGACCGAAGACAAGAAGACATCCGGTAACCAGTCCACCCACAGTCGCCGCCGTCGCTCCCTGGTGATTTCCGATCGCAAGGTGCGCAGTGCCGACGTGGGAGTCAGTGGGCTGTACGACGTCATCTCCGAGGCGGACCTGGCCTTCTCGCCGGACTCGAAACAGGAGGCGGTGACCGTCTTCCAGGGCAAGATCAGCGAGGAGGTGGTCTACGGCATCTGCATGCCCGTCCCGGGCTTCAGTATCCTGTTCATCGTGGTCATCTCGGCGACGATTGTGTCCGCCCTGGTGGCCGGATCCCTTCTATACCGCTACCAGCTGCAGAAGGAAGCGCTCGACAAGCAGACACCCATGCCGGTGCCGGGCACCCTGGCCTCCTGGATGACCCTGCGACTCTTCCGGCTGCGGCACATGCAACAGCAACAACAACAACAGCAGCAACAGCAACAACAACAGCAGCAGCAACAGGTCCGGCAGTCGAATTCAGGACACGAAACGGTGCAGTGATCAGTGGTCTAGGGACATCCGAATCGTTGCCCATGTCGATGATGCCTTCCAATTATTATCTATTTATTATGATTATTGTTTTTTTTTTCTGGGTTGTTTGTTCAGGAAGGAGATCAGGTAGCTACCAGAGATCGGGCAACAATGCAATACTCCAACTGCTCCGAACTGCTCCCTTCAAGATTCGTTTTGGTGCTGAATGTTTTTACGAATTATTAACTCATTATTTTTTTTTTTCTAACTTTGTAATTTTTTGTAATTTTTATTTTGGTGCATTTAGTCGTAAAATTGATAGAAAAACAACAAAAGTTTAACAAACAAACAACAAAAAAACAAACAAAACACACACAAAGAGAGAGAGACACAAATATTCGGAACCTTTCTGGCTTCCACTTGCGGTTGGAATTTGTGATTTTGGGACTTTGTCTTTAAAACTAAATTTTCAACTATTATTAAAAAAACAAGAAATTAACTTATTTTTGAATTAAAATTAATTAATTCCACAATCACTTAATCCAACCTCTAGGGGAAGCGGGTTAAGGACCGACAAGGAAGACTCCTGGCAGGTGCCGAAGGTTAGGGAGACGGATCGATTTCGATCGGCTAGGCCTAAGGGAACTTATTTATTTATACACAACCATCTATATATAGCTCTATATATACATATTTATATATATTCTATATCGTACGATGTTATTTTTAAGCAGAGCGGATTGGAAATTTTGAAATTTAACATTTTAGTAACTTGTTTTGTTTTTTTTTTTTGCGTTTTTTTTTCGGCATCGAAACTTATTTAGGGGAAAATTTAGTTAAATTATACCGCATATAGAATCATCTAGTAAATTTTCACATCCACACACCCACTTACCCTCACATTCACTATCCATTTTCCATTAAAACAAAAAAAAAAGTTAAAATTTAAGTGCAAATTTTGTAACTGAGAAATTGACAATTGAATAAAATTAGTTAAGGTGAAAATAAATTAAAAAACGTTTTTATTATCTTGAAAATATTGGTAAACCTATAAAGGTTTTTTATTATAGATACTGGTTTAATATAGTCGCTGTATGAGTTTTAGAAATTAATCCTTATAACTTAGCTTTTTTCTAGAAGAACTCTAGGCATTAATAACATTTCAAACTCCCTTGTTGGAAATGAAAAAATGTATAAATTCAAATGAAAGAAGTACTATTAGTACTATTTCTAAAACCTTAACCTCCCGAAGCTTCCGACGGCTTCCCCTTTGGAACTATTCCATGAGAACCCCACCTAACTGGCTTTTATAGTTCCACTCAGAACCTAGAAGCTTTTGAGCTCTCAAGCTTTCGATTAGATTTGAGTAACCGTGACTTGGCACTATTATTCCGGAATCATGTCGTTCTGGCTCTCACCGTAGTATTATTTTGAGTAAAATTCATTGTTGATCAGCAACTTTGCTTGAAATGAGAATTATAAGTGAGAAGGCAGTTTTTTTAGACAGCAATTAGAGCCAATTTTGAGATAATTTGTTTTTTTTTATCTGCTTTTTAAATGGGTCATTAAAAAATTTAATATTTGAATGACAATACCAGAAATCTCTGGGGGGGGCTTGTTTTATTTTTTACGGAAATAATTAAGGTTGGTCATTATTATTGTACTTTATATTGTACTATCTTTTTAGAGTAACCAACATATCTACATATTCTGAAAACCTGGCGTCAAGGCTTGGATGGGAACAGATGGAGAGCAAATCACAAAAAATTTTATTCTGAAAAAATATTAGCTTGATATAACTTAACTTAATAATATTAACCTCATATATTCACAAATATCTAACCTTTTCGATCTTAGATCTTCGAGTAGCTTCTTTTTGAATCAAAGTTGGGCAATACAAGTTTTTTAACACTCTTTCCCATTTTTTCAAAGGATTAATTTTTTCTAATAGATGACGATAATTTTCAGGACTAATTTCTAAAACATTTCATCCATTTTGAAGCATTTTTTAGTCCTGAATCCGAAATTCCCTAGCTATGCCAGATCGGTGGAAGAGTGGCAGAGATATACGACATCGTTCCGAAATTTTGAGAAAATTCTATAGAATTTTATAGATTTCTATAGTTTTTTTGACAAATGGCACCATTTCATGTTCTTAAATTGGCCAATACCAATTTTCTAAGTGCGATTCATAGGCATTATTTATTGATTTTTAAATATTAGGATAAAAGCCTTTAAAAGTGTTTCACAAAAAAATTTAAAGCTGAAAATGAAAGATCTACATTGAAAGATCCTTGGCTCTAAACGTTTCTCTAAATGTTCTCTTTGATGGGCTTTAGAGTCAGCTCTTGGATGTGGACGTTCGGTGGGGTCTGGATGCAATAGGACACCGCATCAGCCACATCCTCGGGGCGCAGTCTTTCCATGTCGGAGAACTTCTTGACGAGGGACTTGTCCACAATTTCAGTTTCCACGGCCCCGGGACTAATGCTCTGGAAATTGATTATAAAAATGAGGATTAAAAAAAGGACATGTCAAGTCTAATATATATAGAAAAACCTACAGTGATCTTGGTCTGGGTCTGGTTGTTAAGGAACTCCTGGCGCAGGACTTCTGCCAGAGCCGTGACGGCGTACTTCGAGGGCGCGTACATGCCCAAGCTGAAGTTGGGAATGACGGGAACCCGGTGTCCTGCCAAACTATTTACAATCACCACATATCCGTCGTCCACCTTGCGCTTCTGAAGCGATCGGAACGCCTCCCGGGTGCACCACGCCACGCCCAGGACATTGGTATCCAGGGTGGCACGCAGGTCCTCCGAATTACCCTCCTTCAGAATGGCCGCATTGAGCTTCAAGATCCCGGCATTGTTCACCAGGACATCCGCTCCGCCCAGGGTGGAGTCGATCCACTGGAAGGCATCGATCACATCCTGCTCCTTGCTGACATCGCACTTGTGGGTGTGGAAACGATTGGCCTGGTCCGCCGGCAGGGAGTCCTTCAGCTCCTGGAGGCGATCCTCACGCCGCGCCAGACCCACCACTATCATTCCCTTGGAGACCAGATCCTTGCAGCAGGCGGCTCCTATTCCGGAGCTGGCACCCGTGACGACAGCAACGCGATTTGTCCAGCGATCCATGTTTGGTTTTAGTTTTTTGTTGGGAGAGGTCAGTGATGTGGAAGATCAGTGAGGTGTGAGATCAGTGAAGTGGGAGGTCAGTGAGTTGTGGGCTCGACTTCTTCTGGTTTATGAATGTGAGTTGGGAGGCCCGTCCGAGTGGCTTATATACTTCCGCTCGGAGCTGATAAGTTGCGAGTCAGCGTCCCTCTTGAAACGAAAAAAAAGAGTCTTTTGAGCATGAGTTTTGGTTCGAGTAACCATGATTTGCACCTTTCATGCCCTTGTCGGGGTATTTTTGAAGTTTTTGCCTAAAAGTAGGCTATTTGATAAAGAAGAAGAATTAAATTTAACTAGTAAATGTGAAAATAAACTATATTCTATTAAATTAACTAGAAAAAAAGACAAAACTAGTTTGTTTTTTGTATTAATCTAAATAATTGTCCATCGATAGGCAGTCTAGTTTGAAAAGTGCTGCCAATTCAATGCATTATCAGTATTTTTAAGGCTCAGTAGTTATATTTATTTGGTCACACTGATCAGAACAAAACTTGACTGAGTTTCCCGCTTTTGATTCCTCCGATTGATATTTCCAGGAAAAAAAAGAAAATAACATAATTGTAATATTATTTATTTAGTATCAGTTTTATGTAAGAATGTCTAATTAAATATTGGACGATTTAAAATAAATAAATCATATTTAATCTTAAATTTTCTAATTTTGTGCTATATGCTGGTCATCTATTTCACTATCTTAAGTGCCACTCTGATTAATCATGACAAGGCAATAAATTTTTTACAATTAGTTAAGAGGTCTGATAAGAGAAGTAATAATACAAGAAGAATTGAGGTAGTCCTATCCCCTATACTTTGAATAATTTCAATGAAATCTTATCTTCGAATAATATTATCTTTCTCAACCCTTTCTTCGTAGAGTATTGGTCAAAATTGGTAAAGCTCTTAGTTTCCTATCCTCACAAGAACCTACAAGAGTTATGGACTGGTAGTGCCTTCCAACCCCTCATGCCACCGTCTATCTGGAATCCAACTGGACTTTAAACTTAAAATAGATGAAGTAGATCCTTTTCACCAAAATTCACAGACTAATAAAACCAATTCCAACCCTTTAGGTGAAACTGGGACTGCTGGTTGTAGATGGAATAAGATCCTGGAGATGGATTAGCACCACTAGGCTCCACTTGAAACTCCAAAGCTGGCATCATAAAATATTGAGCTTTCTTTCAAGGCCTAGATCTAGATTTTAGATGTAACTTCTCACTACTTTTAATATATTTTTTAAATGCATATTTTATTCTCATTTAGTTCAAATTCAGAAAAACTTATTTTAAAAGTTAGTATGGTAAGTGGAAGAGTATGGTCCGTAGGTGGGTTGGGGTCTGAATTCTCCTTGCCGTCAAATCTAGTTACGAAAACGACGTCTCCTCTCGGATCCGGACTGCTCCCTGTTCCTCCTCCGCTCCCTCCTCTCCTTATGAACCTTGGCACCCTTGTGGGTGACGACCTTCCAGTGGTGGACGTGCTTCTCCTTGTGGGTGGTGGCTGCGGTGGTGGTTGTGGTGGCAGCCTCAGTGGTGGTCGTCGTGGCAGTCGAGCTGGAGTTTGTGGAGGTGGATGTGGAGGTGCTGGCTGTGGGAGTGGCAGTAGTGGGGGTGGAAGTGCTGGCCGTGGGAGTGGCAGTAGGGGTAGTGGTGGCTGCGGGAGTGACAGTCGGGGTGGAGCCCGAGGTGGTGGCCGAGCTGGAAAGAGCCACCAGGCAGGCGAGGATAGCTACGCAGAGGAATCGCATCTTGGGAGGTGATCAGATCGAATGGCTTGGAAACTGTGTCTTGGTAGTCGCTCCTCCCGGCTTATATAGCACCGGAGACCTCACCTGAGCATCCCATTCCGCCAGAAGATTGTCGCTGTTTAATAAGAACAAACATCACCTTGTTTCCATACATATGTCTGTTATTTGAATCCGTAGTTTGCACAAGAGGCACTTAGAATCGCGAAAAGAACAATACATTTTTGGCAATATTTGCCAAAACCCCAATCGAGGGTATTTTTCCATACAGATTCCTAATTATAGGCCCACTATTCTTGCAGTATTTCATTGTTTGAACCATTTTGCTATGCTAATATAATAATTTGGTACTTATAATAATGGAAAGGTTATATGTTTACTTTCTCTTATAATCCTAATCAATGTATTAGCTCTTAATCATCTATTAATCTTTATTAATTATATGGGTTTGTTTGTGGTTTTGAACATTAATGCTTAAACAAAAGTAACATTTTTTCCAAAGTATGAATTATGTTATTTATTTTTATGATAAGATATAGGATTAAGAACTTTGATCCAGTTGATATTTATTCTTAAATTAATAATTAGATCGAAATAGAGTAATCTAGTTAGAATAGATAAAAATAATTTTTAATAATGGAAACAACACACACTTTCTAAACTGAAGAGGGATTCCAGATCATCATGTCAAAGATCCCTATAAGGTTTCTCTCTAGGGCCCATCTAGATAGACTCTCTCTATCTTTAGAGTTGCTTTTTTGTTGGACTGATGCTAAGGATCATAATAATTAGGAAGAACAGGAAACATGGAAAAGCTTTTAAATTGTTATATGGGTTTATTATATTTTTAAATATTTCATTATGTCTTGAGCCCAACTTCTAATGGTAAAGGGAAACCAATCCTTGCTCTCCCAGTTTTTAAGAAAAGCCAATTATTTATTTTTATTTTTCTCACGCTACCTATTTGAGCCCTATGATATGTAAGACCCTAACAACAAATATCCACAAGGCATGTAAAGTTAATATAAAACATACCTATATATTTAAAAAAAACATTTTCACATAAATATAGCAGCAAGCTATTTCATCTTAAAAGTTATTATGTCGTTGAAATCTCCTATGATAGCAGATAGAATTTCCCAAATGTAGGTTATAACTTAGTCTCTGGGTTAAAACAATGAGATGGATGATGCTTCCACGCGCTTCCACTAGAAAGTCTGTCACAAAACACTTGCCTATTGTCTAGGCCTATTTTCTCCTCAGGGGGTTTTGGCAAACAGTATCCAAGTGTATTGTTCTCTTCAGAAAGCAAACTATCTCCGATTCTAAGTGCGTCTTGTAACCTAATTAAAACAGCAGAACTATCAGGAAACAAGGTGATGTTTGTTCTTATTAAACAGCGACAATCTTCTGGCGGATTGGGATGCTCAGGTGAGGTCTCCAGTGCTATATAAGCCGGGAAGATCGACTACCAAGACACAGTTTCCGAGCCATCCAATCTGATCACCTCCCAAGATGCGATTCCTCTGCGTAGCTATCCTTGCCTGCCTGGTGGCTCTTTCCAGCTCGGCCACCACCTCGGGCTCCACCCCGACTGCCACTCCAGCAGCCACCACTACCCCTACTGCCACTCCCACTGCCAGCACCTCCACACCCACTACTTCCACTCCCGCAGCCAGCACCTCCACATCCACCACGTCAAACTCCACCTCCACTGCCACGACGACCACCACTGAGGCTGCTACCACAACCACCACTGCAGCCACCACCCACAAGGAGAAGCACGTCCACCACTGGAAGGTCGTCACCCACAAGGGCGCCAAGGTTCATAGGGAGAGGAGGGGACGGAAGGAGCAGTCTGGCTCCGACAGGAAACGCCGTCACCGCAACTAGATATGAAGGCTCCACAACCAGATCCAACCCACCTACTGACTATTTTCTTCAACAAAATTCCTCCTAGGATAAGATGTTTTTATTTATAAATAAATAATATTTAAGAACGCAAACAATAGTTCAACTATTGCTACAGTCTTCAGGATCTCCTTCAAAAATCTTGAGGAATTACCTGATGGTATAATATGATAATCTTTAAATATATCTGCAAAGATATCTTGGGGAGTGTTAGGAACATTTTTCAACACACCCTGGACAACTTCTCGGGCATTTCGAAATATTTTTGAAAATGGAATATAATTTATTAATCCGGACTTTAATCTCTTTCGATCTGCATTCAAGGACTAAAACAGCCAAACAAGAACATTTTTGATAATTTTTTGGCAAAAATCCTTATGAAAGTTTGAAACTTTTTGAAAAATCCCTTCGAAAAGTTACAAAAAAAAGGTGAACATTTTTGTTGCCAGGTTTTGATGTAGAATAATGGTACACGAAGTTCTAAGATCGGGAAGGTATGAGATTTGAGGATCGCCCAAGTATCAGCCAAGATATGGCTTTTTCGGTCTAGGAAAAATTCGATTTGGGAAGAAGGAAACGTTTTTAGCCAAAATGGCAGCTTTTCACTCACTTTTTGGCCAATATTTATGAAGCAGGACATTAATCTTCTTTGATCCGCATACGAGAACTAAAAAATCAAACATAAAAATTGTTGGACTAATTTTTGGAAAAATCTTGATGCTCTTTGAAAAATAACGAAAAATGTGTCCACATTTTTGGTAAAAGTTTTTGCAGGAATATGTATGATAGTACCCAAAGTTCCAAGAACGGAAAGATGCTCCGATACTAATCAGCCTAGTATTGACCGGCTATGGATAGTAGACTGCATGCTTAGTATTCGATTTTTTGAAATATTACGTATACGCACCAGTGTCCTTTTGTAGCTTGAATGGTTTACTATTATTTTACTGTGCATTTCTGTGCGCTTAGAAATAATAAACATAAATGTTTCAAAATGTTTTAATTTTTAGGGCTTTGAATATTTAAAATCCTTTTCAGAAATGAAGGTCTTTTAAATGGTGAGTTGGGACCATAACTCCGCCAATTCTAGTCTGTTAAATTAGGGTTAAACCATTATTTTCCAGGCACTTTAAGTTCAACCAACAGTCAATAAAAAAAAATAGAAAGTAGGACAAGATTTGTGACCCAATTTTATAAATCTTAAAATCGGTCAAGTACTAGCTCCTCAGAACTATTGCACTAAAATATATATATATATATTATTATTATAATTATTAATTAACTAAATTAGTTCATTACTTGTTAGATCATCCTAGTTTTGCCACGTCCTAGTACTATTTCGTTCTATAATTAGGCATTTGGGTGGAAAGTTCCCTCCATTGGGGTTTTGGCAAACAGTCTCCAAATGTATTGTTCTCTTCGGAAAGCAAACTATCTGCGATTCGAAGCGCGTCTTGTGCAAACTTCTGATTAAAAAGACCAGGCCCACCAGAAGAATAAAACAAGGTGATGTTTGCTCAGATTAAACAGCGACAGTCTTCTGGGGAGCTGCTGGAGCTATATAAGCCGGGAAGATCGACTACCAAGACACAGTTTCCGAGCCATTCGATCTGATCACCTCCCAAGATGCGATTCCTCTGCGTAGCTATCCTCGCCTGCCTGGTGGCTCTTTCCAGCTCGGCCACCACCTCGGGCTCCACCCCGACTGCCACTCCCGCAGCCACCACTACCCCTACTGCCACTCCCACGGCCAGCACTTCCACCCCCACTACTGCCACTCCCACAGCCAGCACCTCCACATCCACCACGTCAAACTCCACCTCCACTGCCACGACGACCACCACTGAGGCTGCCACCACAACGACCACCGCAGCCACCCCCCACAAGGAGAAGCACGTCCACCACTGGAAGGTCGTCACCCACAAGGGTGCCAAGGTTCATAGGGAGAGGAGGAAGCGGAGGAGGAACAGGGAGTAAAATCCGTATCCGAAAGATGTGACAAGATGTGAAGGCTCTACAAGCAGACCCCAACCCACCTACTGACAATTTTCTGAGGCACAATTCCCCCTAGAATAAGATGTTTTTATTTTTTTTAATAAATATTATTTAACAACGCATTCTAGACTTGATTTGGTGGATACCATTTATAAATCAAGTCTTAGATCCTCTTCTCTCATCCGAGGATCGAAAAATTCAAGCATCAAGTTGTTGGACCAATTTTGTTTTTGGAAAAAGGTAGTACACGATTATTTAAGATCGGGAAGATATAACATTTACCAAGCCTGCAAGCATTAATCGAATTTAGTTTGGCGCCAAAAAAAACGGCCCAGTTAAGGCCATGGGAAGTAGGCCAAAATGGAAACATTTCAAGAATTTTTTAGTTGATATATTAACTATTTTTTCCTTCAATTTTAAAAGCTTATTGTTTACTATTTTAGTACTATGACCTATGGGCTATTGGGGTTTGTTAATTATAACCTTAAAGCCAAGCTCGCTGTGACCAGTGTGACCAGTTTTTTTTGTTCTACCAATTTCCAATAGTTCCGCTGCCATCCGCCAGGTGCTGGTTGGTATACCTCTACCTGTTATCTACATAAATCCAATTTCTGGTAAGAATTCTTAAAACAGAGATCATTGAAAGACTTTTAGGCGACTTGGTGGTATTAGTTAATATCTCTAGATAAACACATAGTATATCTATCCAATTTTATTTAGTTTTCAATAAGGAAAAACAGTTTTAGCTTAGGGTTTTAGTTTAGGGTTCATATACTTGTGGGGGAGGTAGTACGTCATCCTCATCCTTCGTGTCTTTTTCAGCTTGCCGGTTGTTGTTCTGAGGTGCCACCGTGGTTTTGGAGGCAAATATGGAGTTACACGCAGATTTGTTGAAGGCACCGCCGCCGCCGTTAACGTTGGGTGAAGGACTGGGGGAAGGACTGGGTGAAGGACTAGGGGATGGACTGGGGGATGGACTGGGTGAAGGGTTTTGATTAGATGAATCAGTTGTTGTTTCAAAGCAGTCGGAGGACGCTAGAGCCACCAGACAGGCGAGGATCGTTAGGCAGAGGAGGTTCATCTTCAAATAGACTTGA